TGTCTTCTTTTCATTCTTTTTAGCTTTCTATATCCCCTTCTTTTCTGGTCCTTTCCCTTATTTCAGGTTCCCTTTGCTTCTTTGTTTTTTATTTTTCCCCTCCCATTCTGACTCCATTTTTATCTCTCTCCCTCTTTTGAAACTTCTCCTACATTTCCCCTTCCTGTTGTTTCTTTTTTCTTCGTTTGACTTTCATAACCCTCTTTAATTATCTTTAATTATCCCCTCAAACCTCCAATTTTTAGTTTCCATGCTCCCCGCCATTTTGATGTTCATTGTTCCATTTGTTTATTTAAGCTGGCCTCTTCTTTAATCAACTCCTCCCCTTCTGGTTCTCCTTTCTTGTCTTTGTTCTCCAATGATGCCATTTCTAGCATTTGCAACGAAATATTGCACAATTCTATTTTTTCCCATATCATTTCCCTTATGCTTCTTAGGCCTGATTTTAACTCCACAAAGTATTCTGCCATTTTTGTGCACCTCTTTCAAATTTAATTTTTCTTTTAGCTCTTTCTTCAATAATTAAATCCAATCCAGTTATCCAATAGTTAGTTTAGTCCAGCTTCTAACCATCCGCTTCTGTTAGATCTTGTTTCAGGTTTCCAGGTTCAAAATAGTCAAGTGTTCATATATTTTGTTGTTAAATTCCTTCTGTTGAGTTTTAAATTTTCTTCAAAGTCACCAAATATTCCCAGAATTCAGACTTCTTTCTTCTTCCTCCATAGTATAATAAAATTCACTTTTCAGGGTTTTTGTCATATTGTTTCAAAAATCTTCTTACTTTGTAGCAAGATTCAGTCTTTTTGGAACCAAACACTTTTTAAAAAAAAGTTATTGAAAGTTTTCCTTTACCATTAGGTGGTGCTCTCTATTATGTCCAAGTTCCACCTTTTCTTTCCATTTTCCTTTCCCTTTTAAGACTTTTAAATTAAAAAAGATTCCAGTAGATCCAATTATTATACATTTTTTTCCTTTTGGCACCTTCAACTTTTGCTTTTAAATGTGCCTATTTAGTGCCAATTGTATAATTTAATATAACAGATATTTTATACAGATATTTCACTCTTTCAATTTGCTTCTTTTACTGTCCAAAGCATTTTCACTTGTCTCCATCCCCCCCCCCCCCGCCCTCACTTCCTCTGGTCGCCGCTGTTCCAATCTTTTTTTAAAAAAGACTCTTTATTTTAAAATCTTTAGAATATAAAGATTATAAAATCTTGATATTTTAAAATTTTAAAATTAAAAATATTAAAACAATATTTAAAACATTGTATGTGCCCACTTTGCGTGGTCTCAAACATTGTCCACTTCTTCAGCATTCCTGCACAATCTTTGTTCCGGGTAGCTCTCCTTCTTCAGGGTGGCCATATTTAACCACCATTGCAGCCTGTCTTCAGGGGGAATTTACCTAGCCAAGGAGGGGAGATGTGCCTCCCCTCGACCTGACAAGCGCTCTCCCCCTTCTTCCCCACCCTTCCAAGGTGGCTCTAGCCCAATTTGGAGCCCTGAAGTGCAACATGGATTGAAGACGCGCATGATCACGGTCTTCGGTCCATCCTCGAAGGAGATGCAACCAAAAGTCCAGACTGCTATATAATTATTAAAGTAGTGAATATTTATTGAACAGGAGAAACAAACATGTAATAATGCATCACCAACTATCTTGTTTTACCCAAAATACCAGTGTACAAATATCATTAAATTGCTGTTTTAACAATATTGCGAATAATAACAATCTCTTCATGCAGATATTCAAACAAGTAGTTTGTACTGTAACTCACAATCTGTGTAACATTCATGAATTAAACATATGCATGGACAGTTTTCTTCAGGAAATTATTGTCCGCCAGTCTGGTGCCTTCCAATATTATTTCCTCTCCATGATATTTATTAGATAATTCAAAACATCTGAAAGTCCTACTGCAGACCCCCAATGCAGATCATTTCTTAAGTATCCTGTTAGATAAAAAAAATCAATGCCTAGCATAAAACAATTGTGTGAAAGTATTAGAACAATGAGAATATTGACACCAAAACCCTAGCCACTGTAGAAAACCCCAGCTACAGAATTATCAGAGAAGCCATAGAGATTGAAAAAAAACCTGAAAGCATGAATAGAACAGATGATTCCACCAGACTGTCAATTATTTGGAAGCCTGCACTCACAAACAAAAATATCTCCACACCACAAGCCAGGAAAACACCTGTGCACAAACAGATCCCCCCTGATACCTCCAGCTCAAACACACCCCAACCAGGCACCCATATGAAACCTAGCTTCCTAATAAATGATAGCCGTCCATTTACTCGGAGCCAAGCCGCACTAAAAGCCTCCAATATAGGAAACACAATGTTGCCAGCCAATCAAGACAAAAAAAGCCACAAAATGGACAGAAGATATTAGAAACACCAATCCAGCAGAACACAGCAAACTCCAAGACCAATAAACACAGACCAAGACTCCCAACCAATCAGGATGAAGAAAAAACTATTCTGGCACAGCAGTAGGCTAGCCCAAAATTTAAAACAGAAATGGCTGTGAAAGTCTGGCTCACAGACGAACACAATACAGAAGCCCGATGATGGCAGATGGGATTCTGTCGAAACGTCGCTACAACTTTAAAAGTACAACTATAATGACATGGGAAAATACCCGAACAAAGCTGAATACCGTACACGTAAGTACCCGCGAAATTTAAGAAAACATATATGTGTGTGTGTGTGTGTGTATACACACACACACACACACATATCCTTATCATAATTGTGGAGTCATAACAACTATGCTTTGTGTTGGCTGTAAGATCATTTGATACCATATTTACAGAAAAGAGTAATCAGTTTTCTTCAAAATGGAAGGATTGTATTAGATTCAATGAGAACATGGATATAGAAGAAAACAAATAACATCCTAGGAGGTTTTTCTGCAGATGTGCAGAATAGTGTCTAAAATTCGAGATTGCTTTCTTTGTGAAAAACTGATTTCATGCTTTAGAATGTTATCCTGCAAAAATGTTACAACACAATTTGTCTTTTCCCTGGACAAACTGACAGCTCGTAACACATGAACAGCAAATACTGTAATAAAACAATGCTTTTGATAACAGTAGACAGAACAAGGAGAAACTAAAGAACTATTTATCAAGAAAAGCTTTTGAGGCTGGGATGACAAGAAGCCATTGATTCACTTTTTGTAGAGGCCAGTACAGATACTCCCATCGTTAAGGTTGTACTATCTACTTATCAAAAGGGAGCTCTCTTAGGAAATGCATTTGAAGTATAATTTGCTATTTAATGAATACTCTTTTTTATCTGCAATTACTTTGAGCAATACAAACCTCCCTTGGGCCTTCACCTTTTATCACTATAGAGATCAAATACTGTTCACCCAACTATATTTTGTAGAGTCTTCTTTTCTTATGCAAATAAATACATCATCAGATAGCTAGGCATTGTAGCACAAACTGTACTTTGGATTACTCTGCTGAAGGCCCAAGTAGGGGATATTTGTGTCCCTACAAATTGCTTACCTATTATAAAAGACTGACATATTTATTTCCCTCATTAGTTGTACTATACTAGTTGTATCTTAAAATGGATGTCAGCCATTTCAAAGAAATACTAGAGTATTTGGCAGCTTGAAATTAAGAATAGGTAGGAATACATGATGGAAACAACCAATCATTCAAAATATAAATGTTTAGATTTGCCATAAATTATCTGAAGATTTCATATATATTGCTTAGTATTATGGCTGTAGCCAGATAGGCTACTAGTTACTTTCAAAAAAGGTAATGGCTCTACTTTGAGCTATGTCCCATAAGTTTTTCTTAAGTTCTGCCAGTATCAAAACTCAGAATGTTATATGGAAAATAATACATGTACCTCTAGTCCAATGATCAGAATTTTTCTTAAACATAAGAAAAAATATGCTTTCTTTTTTTAAAGTAAAATCCATCTCAGCATTAGGAAAGTGAAATTAAATTCATGAACTGAACATTGAAATTAATTTCTTGTGATGGAAAATAAATGATTTAACCTTTTATCTACCTAACCTACTTTTTCCACATGGAGTAATGAGGACTGAAAAGCAGAGGGTCCGTTTACAAGATGGCACATATAAAGCAAAGGTAATGCCAGACAGTGTTATTTGAAAAAGAAACCTGGTGGAAAACAGGCTTAACATTTGGAACAAGAAGAACTAATAGTTTGGTCTGCAAACTATTTCTTATGCTGTATGTATGATTATTTTAAAAATATCTTTTGGAATATGACATAGATTTAAGCATAAATGCATGGCTAATGAAAAAATATAAATTATTTTAGAATAACTATGTGCTATAGATTCAGAATTGAATGCTGAAGTGGTTCTGATAGATCAGATCAACGTGAAATTTATATAACAATTGTAATTAACATCTGATATGAAACAATAGTTGTGCAAGTAATATAAACTCATTTACATAATCTGCAGCAAGTTATATAATTATTTTTGTACAAAAGGACTGGAGCAGTTTTTTTTAATGAGAGTTATAGTTTGTTAGTAGAATAGTATTAATATTCATAGCAGAACAAAAATTCATGGAGACAAAATGGTAAATCATAAATATCTTGGTTGTAAGTGATTTAAGTATATAAAGTTAAGCATATAGTGAATAAGGAAATTAATTTCAGAAATTGCAATTGCACTCTGTGAATGGATAAGATTTTTTAAAAATCTTGCTGATTTACTCCATCTCTTCTTCTTTTCCTTCTTCTTCGATGGCTAGGATATTGCATTTACTTTAAATGGAAATGTTCATTTAAAAAAAATAAAATTAAACATTACATTTTTGCTTTTTATTAGGAACCAAAATAAAGTTACAGAGTGAAAGACTTTTTTCTTTCTTTCTTTTGTATATTGTGCTGGGTTCCTTACAGGCACTTGATACATATGCAAAAGTGAATTCCTGAGTTCTACAACATTATAGAAAAGCAAATTCTTTTACTAATATTTACATATCTTTGGGAGAATGATGATGCTGGTTTTTCTACTGTGGATCATCTTGGCTCGAGGTTTTGCAGTTCCTTGCAGTCCAAATAAAGCAGGTAAAATAACTGATTTAAAAAATAATAATCTAGGAGTATCTGCGATATGCCTGTTCATATTTGATTTGATAGCAAAAATAGTTAACAGTTAAACATATACCGTATCTTGTGTTTTGAGTTATTCATGTAAAATGATAATGATGTGTGACATTTAATAGCATTTTATAAAGGATACAAACCACCCCAAATTTGAATTCAGTTAATTTTATTGTTTAAATGTTCCAGTGAAGTCAATGGGATCTTACATGAAACACCTAAGTTTGAGTAGAAGCCATTGTAACCGCAATTTGCCAGTGGGTAGTTTATTGCTATTATTCAGTACCTGATACATTAAACAGAACTTTGTACATAAAGGAATGGTACATGTGAAAACAATTCCTAACCGTTAAAAAAAAGCCAAGAATAATTTCCAGAGCAATAAATGGGATGAATTTTGAGGCATTTAATTTATTGTGTTGTGAGTCTGTACATCATGTAAAGAGAGAACACACAATTGACATTGGCCCAAATGTGTCATGTTTTATGTCCATATGGCTGTTCTACTGATTTTATTCTACTTGGGCTATATTGCCTTCCTTACCGTCAAGATTCCCACAGAATGAATAGCAAATAATAATCCCCTAAATGAGGCAAAGATGTATCACAGATGGTCTTTTTCTGCTGATGGAAATTACTTGCATATTAACGCTTTTACATGATGTGCTGTATAGTTCAACTTGTAAATTTAAGATAACCATAAGATGTGGCTAATAGTTTGCCATAAAAAGAAGTCATAAATTGTAGATATTGCTAATCCTATTTTCATGTTTATGTTTCTTTAATTTGTAAGCATGAGAGAAGACTAGTAAAGATATGCAGACTCTGTTGGTGCCTTTAGCTCCCATGTTTGCAATAATATTGCCTATTCGATGCCCAAAGGCATTAGAATGCAATTTCAATTGCTTATTGTGATATTAATTGTGGAAGCTAATAGTGGAAGATACTGAAAACATAATTTGAATTAAAGCTCAAGCTTGTAATCATGGAAAAAGCATTACGTCCCTTGATTTTGTAAGTAGAACTTTGCTGCATAAATGTGTTGTCGTTCTTTTTCCTTTTTTGCTTTAGATGTGATTTTGGTATATTGTTATCCTAAAACAATTATTACAAAAATCCCAGAATGTCCATATGGATGGGAAGTTAATCAGCTGGCACTTGGAGGGATTTGCTATAATGGAATTTATGATGCAGGATACTATCAATTTACCATCCCAGATTTGTCACCCCAAAACAAATCATACTGTGGAACACAGTCAGATGTATGTAGTTAATGTGGTAATATTCATGTGTGGAAAATTGAAAATTTTCTAGCATTTTTATATTTTCAGCATTGTTAAAGATAACTAATTTATTTGCATTTATATTAAGATCAAAGTTACTTCTTGTCACACCTTGCTGTGAGATTTTAGCCACACTCAGGATTTGAATATCCAATGCCTGGTAAAACAAGGAAAGGGACTAAACATATATTGCAGGTGTGAACAAATTCTTTTTTTAATCTGGCAAGTACTAAAAAGCTATATCAATTTCACAACTATGGTAGTTTATTGCATTGCTGTTAGTAGTACCATTGTTACTACTTGTAGTAGTACTATTTAATACTACTAATGAATGTGTTTAATGCAAATTCTACTTTTTCCTATTGCACATATATTAATGCACATTTTATTTTATTTATTTCCAATGTACAATTAAGATGTCAGAAGCAGGGTGCTTAAGCACGTGTAATGTACACACATACCAGAATTAAGGCTAGAATATATCCTTGGTTTCCATACCATCTAGGAACAATCAAGAGGCAAGGAAAATGGATATCTTTAACATTAAACGGAAAATGGATATGTTTAATGTTACAATATCCAAACTGGAAATAAAACTTACAGTGTTGGATTCACAATAAATGTTTATACTATATTGACATGCCATTCCTTGAGGTCAAGGTTTATCAGTATGCTTACAAGTATGTGTTTTATTCACATTTTTGCAGTGTTTTTGTTTAATTTTGTTTTGTCTCTGTTTAATTATTTTTTTCTATTGGATTTTGGATTTTAATCTATTGAATAAAATAAAATTGTTAAAAAAATAAATTTAACACATTTTTCATGGGTTTAATAATTATTTTTTTCTACTTTTCCTTATTGTTCTCCATATTTTTTTAAATTTTTTGTGGACTTTGCTTTTCATGAAAGTGAAGAAATATCTATTAAACAAAATAAAACATACAAAAGTCCAAACAACCAATGCAGGCAGCAAAATATTAGTTTTCTGTGTTCCTTTGCTGCCATCTAGCAGACACCAGACACATGTGATAACTATATAAGGTGGCCTCTCACTCAACAGTCCTGGGAAGCTTAAAAAACAAATACATCATTAAAATAGGAAGTACAAAATAATAAACATATATGATAGCAACACTAAATTGTTAAAAAAAACTTGGCTGAATAAGTTCTTCTTGCCTTGTGTTCTGTATTTTCTCATATTTTGTCTCACTCTCGTGGTACTGATTGAGCCTAAGAGACTGTCCTTTATCGCTTTATTGTTTATTTTATTTTAATATTTAATAAAAAGCTTTACTTCATAATTGTTTTTAGTTGTGCTTAACTTACTGCTTGCTTTCTAGTTTTATGATCAACTGCTTCAAAAATTTTAATGGAAATTGATGTACAAATGTTTTAAAATAAATGCATTTATTTAAAATAAATCTTAAATTTTAAAATATATTTTAAATAAGTGGATTTTTGTGGCATGTGCTTTAGAAGGCAAACTTATGTTTATTTCTTCTATCTTCATGGGCTTGTAAAATGATTCTGTACGATTAGAATCTCAACAGATTTAGAATTGAATGAATGATAGAAACCATTTAAACTAAAATTGCATTTGTATCTTTTTCTTCCCATGCAGTTTAAAAACCCTGTTTATCATTTCTATAACTCTATCAGTTCGAATGATAGCACTGTCATTGTGAAAAGCCAACCTGTCAACTATTCATTTACTTGCACCTATCAGGCGAACTATCTGGTGAACCATGCTGCCTTTGACCAAAGGTAACACTGCCCCAATTCATTGGAATTCCATCTTCTAGCATATATTTTGCTGTATTTTCAATAGCATAGGAATCAGTTCTGTGTCATTTTCTGCCTATTTTAGGGTAGCAACTGTTCATGTGAAGAATGGCAGTGCCGGTTCCTTTGAAAGCCAGTTGTCTCTCAATTTCTATTCTGTAAGTATAGTGTATGTGCTGCTTGCTCAGTAAATTTCTCAGTAGTATAGTGAATAAAATAAGGATTTGATAGCATCTTGAAAACGCTAAGTTGACCAGCACCATCCATTAAGCAGAGTGAACTGACAAAGGAACACAAAATAAAACTTTAAAAAAATTCAAAAGGGCAGCAAATGGTTGATTATTTAATTTATGTTGTATCAATGTTGTTTATATAACAACAGCAAACTACCTCATGGGGGAATAGTCGTATCATGTTCTATCTCAGGTATAAAAATGACTTGCTCAGTTTCATTATAGTACAATGTGTGTTTTTGTAATAAGTAGGAATTACATCAGTTGTTTCAGGTCAAGCAGCAAGCAGAATCTCATCATTTGACTGTATATCATAGAAAGCAATACTTTCATAATATAGGCAGAGTTTCAGATGTCACAAAAGGATAATAAATTATTTAATATATTTTTAATGCATGCTTACTGTTATGAAACTTCAGCTGCCAATAATTTTGCTGACCTCAAATACTCTGAGAAAGTATGGCCTTCATTTGCTGCTCCTGCAGATCTCCTGCAGCAAAACAAATAAATAAATTACATTACCCATTTTTTTCTTCTCAGAATGCCAAGTTTTCAAGCAAGAAGGAAGCCCCTTTCATTGTTGATACATCAGAAATTGGCTCTGATGTATTTGCTGGAGTGGAAGCCAAAGGCTTAAGTCATAGGTATGATTTTTTTTTATATCCATGGCTCCCAGCATTATATTGTTGTTCTGTTAATGTTCATGCCCCTTTGTCCTTTTGCAGATTTAAAGTAGTATTGAGCAATTGTTGGACAACCCCTTCTTCAGAATATTTCTACCAAATCCAGTGGCCTCTGATAACTAAGGGGTATGTAATTCATTCACTCTTCCCACCCAATCAGGTTTATTCACATGATATGGTACTCTACTGGTTAGTATATCTTAATTCTATTTATTGATTTATTAGATTTATATCTCATCTGTTTCTTCCTCATTTTAATATCTGTTATTTATTTGGCATAGGTGTGCAACAGATGACTCCACTTTAGTACATGAAAATGGCAAAAATAATCGAGCCACCTTCCAATTTAATGCATTTCGGTTCCAGAATATTCCCAAACTTTCCAAAGTGTGGTTACATTGTGAAACATATGTGTGTGATAGTGAAAAGTTCTTTTGCCCTGTGGTAAGTTCTTTAAATAATAGCAATCAAATCTAGAATCCCAAAACAGGATACATGAACCTGAAAAGACAAACCAGTGTATATATGGATTTTTGGTCCAACATTTCAATACAGTATTAAATCAGTTTTAAAGCATTTCTGTTTTCGTTGTGACTAACATTAAAAACCTAAGCCTTTCTGCTTTGTGGTTCAAGTTCTTCACTCCATCTTGCAATTTTCCTGGGGGATTACAGACTTGATACTGAATACACCAAAATGACATTGGTTAGTAGATCTAGGATTTGCATTAATGCTTTTGTAGGCAGTAAAACTTGGATTTGGGAGTACACTTATCATAGTGACATGCCTTTGCTAAGTCTGATGGTTGCTAGAATAAAAGCTGTGTTATTGTAAGACAATTTTGAACTTCATCTGTGTAAATTTAAGCTCCATCTATGAGTAAGAATGGAAAGGAATAATTTATGATATTCACTAGAGGGTGCTAATGCATGTTTGTGATGGTGTTACTCTGTAATGTTTAGGAGCTATCTAGATATGATAAATGTTCTGTGTCTCATTAAGAATTACCATTTTTTTAATCCAATAAAAGAGTTGTATAATTTACTGTAAATAACTACTGTAAGTAATTTAGTGTTTGTGACAGTTCTACATCTATGGCCTTGCTTATAATTTCTGAAATTTGGATTTGAGATTCCCTTTATAAAAATAATTATGCAGAAGGCATTGTGTTCATTGACTTACATGTCAATGCATGTGACTGAATGTGGGGCATTCAGTTATATATATGTCTAACCGGTAAAACTTTAGAAAGATCCATACTGTTTTCTTGATAACAATGGAAAAATGGTTTGGCTTTGCTTTCTCCTTCATCTCTGCTTTATTTCAATCACTCTTATTATGGATTGTTTGTAGCTTCACCTCACTCTTCTTGACTTTATCAGGAACTTCTTCCCATGATAATGTTGCTCTCAGGGTTGTTGAATCCTCATTCCAATATCTCAGATAATTCACAGGAAGGGATAGTGGTCCTTTTTTTCCCTTCTGTTTACTTGTGTCTGATTCTTGAACATTGCCTAGACAACTCTCTGCAATAATATTGGCATAGTTTTTCAGAAGTGGTTTGCCATTGCTTCTTTTTTAGGGCTGAGAGAAAGTGATTGGCCCAATATCACCTAGCTGGCTTTTGTGCCTAATATGGGACTAGAACTTGCAGTCTCTCGTTTTCTATCCTGATGTTTTGACCACTATACCAAACTAGGTCTTTAATGGTACAAAATTTTCACCAAATATACCAAGAGTGAGGTTACTATCTTAGCTTTATTCCAAGTACTCTTGTGAAAGAACTGCAAACATGCTCTCAAAATGTTTAAGAGAAGGGAATCTGAATCTTTTGGGCTGGCTAAGGGAAATAATTTGTCTTTTTATTGTTATTGTTCTCTTTGGGTTCTATTACTACTTAGAATGCATGCATTTTATTAAATAGGAATAACTATTTTAATGATTATTTATTTGTATTTTTGCTATTTTTAAGGCTTGTGAAAAAAGGAGAGAACATATCGAGCAAACAGGTGGTGTTTTAATTGCAGAATTCATTGTGAACAGTAAGTTCAAATGTTTCTAATGAAAGTGAGAATGCTTTACTGGAAGAGGATTGCTTTGTCAGATGAAAAGAATTTCCACACTCATTCACTTACATATTTAAATTCGCATTGTTTATCCATATAAAAATATCATTCAAAACACACCCAGACAGTGACACCCTGCTACGTACTTCATACCCTTCCTTGTTCTCTAATCCACTCTTACTATATCTTCCCATCCCACGTTCCACTTTTCCTTTTATGAAACAGTTGGATTGTTTTGTTTGAGCAATGAGAGGCTGAACCAGAGCATGAGTGCAACA